GAGGCCCACACGCAAGCGCTCAGCTGAGCTCAGGCCCGGGCGTGCCCCTGCTGTCTGGTGGATTTTTCCCTAGAAAATGAACAGAGGGAGCTACTTCCATCATTCCAGACAGGCACCTTTTTATCTGCTTATTTCCCAAGAGGAGATGATTAAACTTCGTGCTTCATTGCAGAAAGCAGGCTATTAAAGAGATTGTAAGGTGCAAAGTCAAGACTGGGGCCGGTGACCTTACCCCAGAGCCACTCTGCCCCTCGGCTACCACCGCTGCCCGCCTTCCTCCACTCCCTCCTCTTCTCTCCACACTTCTCCACACGCTGCTGGGACTGTCGGTCCCTCTGCGGAGCAGAGACAAGGAGCGGCCTGGCCTCGGGTTCCTTCTGCCTGCCCCATCCTGGGCAGAGCTGCGTACCGGAGTGAGGGGGTAAAGAAACAGTAGTGCCGGCCATTCGGGAGAGGCGTCACCTGCATATTTCTGGACCTGTCTCCAGCTCTCCTGAATCAGCCTCCAGAACGTGGCCCGAGAATGAGCACTGTGAAAAGCTCATCAGGCGATTCTTAGGCTTACCAAAGTTGGAGCACTACGGCTTTAGAGGCTAGACATAGAAACTGGGCTGACCTGTCAGGGGGCCATCCAATGGAAGTTGGGATGGTGCCCAGTCCAGGTCAACATCTAGTTTGCCCGACTGGCACACACTGGAGGCAGTGGTGGAGACACGGGCGTGTATGGCGGACCGCACCTCATAGATGTCCTGTGCTTGGCCCTCCACGAGCCATCTCGCCTCAGCAGAGAGAGCACTCAAACAGCCCAGCTCCCCGGCCCTACTGCCAAATACCAGAATTAGTCAGAGGGTCTGAGAGGAGCCTGCGTTGTTCTAACCTTAGCACCTTTCGTTCAGCAAATACTCACTGGGCACCTGCTGGGTGTCAGGTCCTGTGATTGGGGCTGACTGCCTTCCACAGTGTACATTCCCGAGGTGGGGACCAGAAAATAAACAACCAGTCAGTAAGTGAATGCACTGGGACAGGCGAGGGAGGGTGGGCAGTCTGGGGGCAGGGTGGAAGGCAAGGTCTTCAATAGGGTAGCCAGGCTGAGCCTCTGGGAGCCAGGCGCGGGAGGAGACGGGGAGCTGGCCGTGAGTACCCGGGGAAGTGTTCTGGGCAGACAGGACAGTCCCTGCCGAGGCCTGAGCTGGGGAGCCTGTCTGGAGTTCCTCTCAGTCCTGGGTTCAAGATCATAGCCCTTCCCTGAGGAAGGGGCCTCAGGTAGGTGACCTTTTTAACAGGAAGCCAGGGCAGTAAGTGTCGCCTTGTCGGCTCCCAGCACTTAGTGGCAGAGATAGGAGCAGAGCTGTAACGAGTGTTAAGGCTTTCTGGGCAGTTGGGTTTGAGATTGGCTCTCCAGAGGGATGAGGCAGGTTCTAGCCTGGGCGGCAGGGTGGCCGGTTTGTGCTGGGGTCTCTGGACACCATGGCTACCAAGGGCTCTTCATCTCCCATGAGGTTTCCCTCTGCCTCACTTCCCTGCCCCCAGAACCCACACTAACCAGTATCTCCCCCTTCTGTGTGGCTAATGGTGGGAGGCTTGGAGGGTGGCTGTCAGCCGGAGTGACGGTTCCAGAAGACACTGTACAGTTTATCAATATTGAATGTTGTCGCCGGCTTCCACCGGCAGCGTGGTAGGGAGTCGGCCAGGCCTGGCAGTGTTATTTGATAATACAATCACCATCATTTATATCATGGCGACGGAGCGTCTCTGCTACTGACAGTGGCTCAGTGCCTGGGTGTTAGCGAGGTAGAGCGGGTCTAGAATGGAAAGTCAACCAGGCTGGGAATCCATGGTCCTGGAGGCTGGCCTCTGGCCTCCCTCACTGACCACCGGAAGGGGATAATGTAGCAAAGATGCCACCCCGGGTAAAAGCAGCCCAGAAGCATTCGCTTTCAGAAATGTGTCGCGTGGAAAGCAGAGAGGTTTTACCTTCTGCTCTCGGGTTGTGTCCTCAACCCCACTTTGTCTTCAGCGGGGAGACAGTGGTCACCACTTCGAGCTGCCAATACCAGTGGTGGGGTTGTCAGCCTCCTGAAGGGCTCTCCCGAGAGGAGACCAGGGGCTCAGACCGCTTATCATACTGGCAAATCCAAGAGTGTATTTCAAAGCTATTCTCTTTGAAAATGTGAACTCTTGTAAGGAGAGTCATTCCTGTTTGGTGAGTTGTGGGGCATTTGGGTCCTGGGCGGGCGCATGTGAAATAGGCAGGCCAAAGGTGAGCACACGCTTGCTTCTCGTCCTCAGCAATGGGCTGCACGGTCCTCTAGCCCCACACGGGGCCACACAGGAAAAGACGGGAGGAAAGTTGCCTGAGGAGACTGGGGAGGGCAGTGGGCTGGGGTCTCCTACCCTGCCATGTCCCTGCAGGTTCCCGACAGGATTGCTCACTCTTGAGGGCTCTGCGGTGGGTGGCCAGAGGGATGCCCAGGCGCAGGGAAAGGGAAAGTTAGTGCAGAGGGCAGCCAGCAGAGGTCCCCGAAGACACTTGGGGTTCCCTGACCAGGTGGGAGGCAGGTTGGGATGGGGCTGGGAGCTTTGGGTTGATACTTTGGTATATAGCCTGGGGTGAGGGTGGGGGTGCAGAGGAGAGGAGGGGCAAAGGTGGCTTAGAAATGAAGTTCAGGGAGCTTTGGGGAAGATTTTGCACTTGCACGGCATACATTCCTGTGCTTATCCCTCACAGTGACTGGCATGCAGAAGAGAAAGGTATTTTCTGCAGGGTCCCAAAGGTAGAGGTGGAAAGGTCAGACCCAGGCCTTAGTCTCAGCAACCCTGGTCTGACGCCGGTTAGGTGCTCGGCAGCTGCGAACCAGAGGCTGGCAGCTGAAACTCAGCTGCTGCCCCACGGGAAAGACTGGCGACCTGCGCCCACAAAGATCATGGTCTAGGGCAACGTAGGGGGCAGTTCTAGCCTGTCTTAGAGGGTTGCTGCGGGTCAGAACAGACTGGCCAGCGCCCAACAGCAGTAGGCTTAGCAGAGGAACATCGGTCGGGTCTTTAAGAGCCGTTACCAAAGCCAAGCCTGTTGCTGCCAATCCAGTTCTGCCTCCTAGTGACCCTAGCGGGCCACATGGTTTCCAAGGCTGAAATCTGTCAGAAGCCCACAGAGCAGCTGGTGGGTTTGAATCACCGACCTGCTTCCTGCGAGCAGGTGGATACGTACGGTCACAGCCGTAGGGGCTGGCAGCTCCCTTGCTGACCGTGTTTCGGAGTTTTCACACTGAAAGGCAACGTGAGGGGTCAGGAGTCGGGAGATCGTAGTCCTAACGTCAGTGTTGTCGTTTCGTGTCATTTCCTCAAATCCCATCTGAGCTTCAGTTGCTCCCGCCATCAGGTTAAGGAATGGTGGTTCCGCTCTGGCATAATGCTTCTCCCCGCGCCTCATTCGGCACCGTCCTGTGTGACAGCTGCCAGATCTGGGTCTCATTGCTGTCCCTTTGCAGGTGGAAGGTCACAGTCAGGGTGATCGGGGTCAGCTAATCCAGCTGTCAACCTCCAGTCCAGAACCACCCTGCCCCTTAACAGAGGGTAGCCCAAAGCAGAACATTGCTTCTGTGGGGATAACATTAAAATCTGAAGTTTAAAAATCGGGGTTCCGTGGCCAAATCAGTTTTAAGAATTTTATTTATGTTGAATTTTTAACAGGACTTCTTAGAACCTTTAGCAGGTCAGTAGGTATCATGGGTCACTTTAGACTGGGACTAAGTGCTATCTCCCAAACGCATCAGACCATGGAACCCGTACATTTTGTTTTACTTAGTTTTTACATTTTCTTTTAAAGGGCATCTCTCCAGATCAATGTTGCATAGAGCACCCTTCACAGTCAAAGTTTGGATGGGCGTTGCTCACATCTCCCCATATTGCTGACCTTCAGGGAGGAAATGGCCACTTTTCCCTTTGGGAACACCAAGGCAGACCTTGGGCATGAGGCTCCGCCGCCTGCTATTGTGTCCGCAGCAGAACCTCCTCGGTGCCTCTTCTCAGCCCCACGTCTGTCACAGGTACCCAGAGAAACAAACGGGCTAGCTAAGGACTGCTCCGGGGGTGCGTGGGCCGACTGGTGGAGGAGCTGCTGACTGGCGTGGGGTTGGTGTTCTGGGCCACACAGGAACAGAACCTGCCCGAGCCCCGGCTTCCCAGGCCGAGCTGGGACTCAGCGCCCTGGGCTGGGCGGGGCTCGGCCGGGCACAGGAACTGACTGTGGCTTATCTGGGCAGGAAAGGCCGGGTTGCACTCAGTTGGGTGCCAGACCGCTTTAATACCCACCTCCCTGGCCCCTACCCACTCCTGCCCGCCATCACTCTGCCTCTTCTTTTGGGTGCCCTTCACCCCACTGTTCTAAGCAAGCGGGCTCTCCTTCCTCCGCCCAGTCTCGCTCTTCTCTTCACGCTGCCCCCCGCCCCCCCAAGCCTGGCAGTGTGCCCTGTAGGAATACTAATTAGCATTCACGATTTAATTAATTCAGTAGCTAATTAATGATTGGGGACGGGAGCGGGGTGCGGGTGTGGGAACGAGGTGGCAGGGAGAAACAGCGAGGCTGCAGAAGGCACCGCAGATGGCTGTGCAGTGGCTGGCACCGTGCCCACCGCCATGGCTGAGCACACACTCCCGCGCGCGCACCCGCGCACGCACGCACGCACGCAGGAAAGGGCGATCGAGGAATCACACAGAAAACGCCGAGAAGGGCACGGGCCCTGGGCGCGGGGTGGGGGTGGGGGTGGGGAAGACGCCAGGTCTCTGAATCTGCGCCGGAAGTGGAAGAGAAGAAGAAACAAGAAACCACCACAGGCGCAGAGAGGAGAGCTCTCCCGATGCCCTCCCCGCCCCCCCATCCCCGCCCCCAGCCATCCCTCCTCCCTGGCATGGGATCCATGGGCACCAGCTGAGGACAAGCGCCCCTCCCGCTGCCTGCCGTCAATATTGGCACCCAGGACCCTGACTCAGAAGGACAGGGCATTCCCAAAGAAAATAGTTTTTTCGTTTAAGTTCCTTTGAAACACACACATATCCATATGCGTATCCGTATATGTATCTATTTGGATTTGCACCAGTGTGGGTGTGAGGGCGAAGGCGCAGGTGGCTGAGACAGGAGAGAGCAGACGGCTTGGTGGTGGTGTGGTATGGTGAGTTGCGGGCAGAGGGGGGTCTGGTGGGATGAGGACCCTGCTCCCCTCTCTTCACTTGGCTGTGGATGAAGGAGAGAAGAGAGGAAGGGGGTGGGGGAGAAGCGAGACAGATGGCAGAGTGGCGAGGCGGCAGCCAGTGCCTGCAATGCCCAGCCTGGGCGGACCCAGCTTCCCCCGCCTGCCAGCTCTCCAAATGCCACCCTCCCCCACCCCCCTCATCCCATCCCCCCGGCTTGGCACTGATCTGGGGGAGGGAGCGGGAGGGAGGCTGGGCAAAGAGCATCTGCTCCTCCATTCTCCCAGCTCCATCGGCTGCCAACCTAGGGCCATCGCCTGCCTCCATCACCCCTCCGCCCGCCCGCCCGCCCGCCGCCTACCCACCCAATCCCAAACGGCCGTTGGATCAGGTGCTGAAGCTAGCTGCCTCCTCGGGTCCCAGCCAGTGTGCATTGCTGGGTGTCTGCCACTGCAGCCTGGCACTCGGGGGGCTGTGTGTGTGTGGATGTGTGTGCTCGCGTGTCCATGTACGCACACACGAGTGCTGTCTGTGAGTGAGCCTCCTGGGCATGGGGTGGGGGTTGGCATTGCGGCTGCCAATCCAGTGTCCAACCAGAAGGGTAGGAGGATGGCATGGAGGAAGGAGGGGAGAGACTGGGGATCTGGGAGGGGCAAAGAGGGGGCATGAGTTGCTTCATGCAGCCTGCTTACATGCATTGGCACAGCAGCTGCCACCCTTGTGCCCGCCGAGATAGGAGGAGGTGAATGAAGGGGGGGCTCTGGGGGAAGGCTCAGCACATAGGAGCCACTGGCATCACACCAGTCAGGCGGGTGGCCCATGCTGGTTGGGGCAGTGGGGACTGAGGGCACCTAGGGGGCAGGAACATGAGTGACTGATGCCCTTCCTCTGGAAGCTCAGCGCGGAGGAGTGGGTGCACTCTGAGGTAGTTAGTTCTTGTCCAGCCTGGTCACGGAAAGCAGTGGGGCCAGCAGCCACGGAGGTGCCAAGAGAGAGGGTTAGAGCCAGTGGGAAGGAACCGGGCCACTGTTATGCAGTAAGAACCCGCTGGGGCGGGCCATCTGGCCTTGTGCCAGCGCACAACAAGGGGACTGGGGGTGGGTGGGCAGTGGCACTGCCCAGGAAGCCTGGCACAGGCTCTGGCATTGTGTGGAAAGAGAGAAGCGCTGGTGTCTCGCCAACTTGGTGGAGGGGATGTTCTGCCGGAGTGAGAGAGAGGAGTCAGAGGGTGGGGGGTGGGGTGTCAATGTGTTATTTGGGTGAATGGACTTTTTCTGCCAGGACCTCTTCCCTGGCCCCTTGGTCGCCTTAGACTTGGAGAACGGAGTGACAGACAGAGACAGAAGTGAGGCACCAAGGAGGAAGCGCGCCATTGCCAAGACCCCAAGGAGGAAGCATGCAGGCGTCTGGCAGTCCTGCCTGGCATGGGCCAGCTCCCTCTGAAGAAGGCCCACTGCTCTGTCGGTCTGTATATTGGCATTCTGGGGGTGGTAGGGGAGGGGAGGGCTGGCTTGCTGGCTGGGGTCTGGAATGGGGAGGGCATCTTTCCTTGGGTCCCATTTGAACTCTTCATTCTTGGACAAGTGAGGTGTCTGAGTTTCCCCCCCTCCCCCCCAGGTCTTTCTCCCCTTCCCGTCACCCCATCCCTTTTTCATCTCTGCTACCACCTGGGTCCTACTGTTTGGCACCCAACCAACTAGATGCCGCCACGCTTGGCAGTGCTGCACTGGCATGCGGACAGTGCCTCAGATCCTGGCACTGCAGCAAACCCGCCGCCGCTGCCGCCAAACATGCTCACGACCGCCGCGCAGCAGTGAGAGAGCAGGGCAACGCACTCACAGGGTGCCAGGGCGGGGTGAGCTCGGTGGCAGGAAGGGGCAAAAGAGGCCACCAGTGACAGCTGAGTTGAGTCAGTGCTTTCTAGGTCACCACGACCCTACCCTCTTCCCAACTTGTCACCACCTCCCTCCACACCCCTAGTACTAAGGAGCTGTGCAAAGGCAGATCCGAAGGATGGGACACCAGCCACACCCAGGCTCCAGGCGGCGGACTCTAGCCCCCTCTGGGCATCACGGAGAGCAGAATGAAAGGCTGGAGAGAAGCCAGTCGGCTCAGTTGTCGGGGAATGGTATCAGAAGAGGGGGTGGGGTGGGGGAGGAGACAGGAGAGCCCCTAGGCCTTGCTGTTGGGTGGCGGGTGGTTTATGCTGGTGGGTGTTACACTCGCCTTGTGCCTTATAGTCCGCTGGGCAATGATTTGAAATGAACCCAGTTCTTCTTCCCTTGTTTAATGGCCTTGTTCTATAGCATTCCTAGAAAGACAGAGAGGCACTCATAGGCTAGAGAGGCAGGCAGAGGTTAGAGCAGTGTTTCTCAACCTTCCTAATGCTGTGACCCTTTCATACAGTTCCTCATGTTGTGGTGCCTTCCCCAACCATAAAATTATTTTTGTTGCTACTTCATAATTGTAATTTGCTACTGTTATGAATCAGGCTACCCTTGTGAAAGGATCATTCAACCCCCACAAGGGTTGCGACCCACAGATTGAGAACCACTGTGTTGGAGGATCAGGACATGGGATTTGTCTTCCAGAAACGACTTCACAAGGAGCCTTTATATTTAGGAATGACTCCAATGGCCACCTTGGACAGAGATGGAGGATTGCTATAGTTTTAGAATCCACTCTGGGAGGGAGACTGAGGACCAGCCATGAGCCCTGGGAGGGGGAAGGGAGGCCCCAAGCAGGTGCGGCGGGCAATAAAGGCCATCCCTGCATCTCCAGAGGCAGGGCCGCTGAAGCCCCACAGAATCGTACCTGGAAAGAACGTCTAGCAGGTTGGTGTGCCCTCGTTTCCCGAGTAGCCAGATTTGGCTGTGGAATGCTGAGTGGCTCAGAAGGGGGAGAGGCCCTGCCCAGAGGTCATGCAAGCCAGTGTCCGTAGTGGGCTGAGCTGCTCAGAGCTGGCACCTTTCTGATTTCAGCATCTCTGGAAGTGGGTGGCAGTTCTACAAGAAGCAAGGTGGTTTCCACAGAAGAGGCAAGAGCAGTGAGGCATTCGACCAAGGGGGTGAGTACACCATGTTAACATCCTTTCTCTGCTCAGGGATGGCCAACACAAGCTGAGGACCGCGATTTCCAATATGTTGGCGGTGGGGGTGATATCAGGGGGATGAAGATAAGTGTGGTAATGATAGGCCACTATGCGGTCCCCCCTGGCAGATAAATGTATATGGGGTTCCTTCTTCAGGCCAGAAGTGCTCAAACTCCAGAGAACACAGTCATCTTGGGAGTTTAGTTGGTCTTAGGTATGGGCCTGGGATATGCTTTTTAAACAAAACCCAGGTGACTACGGTACAGATGGTCCATGCATCAAAACTTTGCAGGGCAGTTGACCTAGTCTGAATTCCCCATGGTCTTTGTATCTTCTTCTGGCCCAACCATATCTACGAGGGGGTACCATCCCCCCAAAAATGATGCTCTTTTTTTTTTATGTGAAGGGGATAGTGCATTTGGAGTCTTTCCATCAGGTCAGACTGTTAATCAAACTTTCTATTTAGAAGTTCTGAAAGATTGCGTAACAGTGTGTGACAAAAAAGGCCTGATTTGTGTCAAAAGGGGGGACTGGTTTTGCCACCATGACAATGTACCTGCTCACACAGCCAGATGCTCAGTCTGCCAGTTTTTGGCAAAAAACAGCATGCCTCTCTTGCCCCATGCACCTTACTCACCTGACCTCATTCCATGTGACTTCTTTTTGTTTCGCTGAATGATGAGGGACATGAAAGGACAGCGATTTGATGATGCAGAAGAGGTGAAGAAAAAAATGAGGGAGGTGCTGTCAGCCATCCAAACAGATGATTTTGAAAAATGTTTCCAAGAATAGAATTGCAGTTTTGTTAAAAAATAAAAAATTAAATACATAGCTTTGGTGGGGGAAATTCTGTTGGGTTTGTGTGTGTGTGTGTGTGTGTGTGTGTATTTTTGTGTGTGTGTATACTCTTGTATTTTTCTATTCTGCTGTGCATGTGATATATGTTGTGGGATATGTGTGTATATCAGCGGGGTGGGGGTAGCTGGTTAAAAAGTAGATATTATTAGGCCAGATGAGGCAAGTGTAATTTGATAGTATGATTGCTATTGGTAGCAATAAGCACGAGAGAATCCATTTGGAAGCATTCTCAAAGTTCACTCTGCTCCTTACCCCGTTTCTGATGGCTGGCTCTGTGTGTTCCTGAAAGGTCGTAGGCGTAGGATTGCTCTCTGGTCGGTCAGAGTTCTGTGGGGTTTGTGGGAGGCATTGGATAGATCCCGGTCACACTTCCCAGAGGCCGATCTACACCCTGGGTAGTGGATGTAGGGCTCGCCTAGCTGCTGCTGATGTTTAGCAAATTGCAGGTGGCGCTACTGTGCAAGTGCCCGCTGTGGGTATCCAGGAGTGGGTCCAGCTGAGAGCATGTGGGCAGGGGTGGGTATCAGGGAGGGCCCTGCTGATGACTGCTCTGGTGTTTCAGCCATCATCTGAGGGGCGTGGGCACAGTTTGGTAGAGTCATGGGTCAGTCCCAGGTACTACTTCACCAGTCCCCCTCTCCTCGGATCAGACCGCTTTCTCTTGAATCTGTCTACCAACACTGCCAACGCTGCCTCCTTGCCAGTTTTTCAGTCAGATCCCTTGCCATGCTGGAGGACTGTAGGAGCCACTAGGCTGAGACTCTTGGTAGGGAATGATGACATCAGCTAGCCTTTGTGTGGAGAGGGGAGTGACTGGGTGGGCCGTCACCCAGTTTTGTTTTTCTCATAAAGTCTCTCCCAAGGGACCCTTTCCCTAGGAACCACTTTCCATTTTTCTCCAGACTTGATGGTCTCTGTCTTTAAGGATTTTCTGTCATCTGACCTTTTCAGAACGGAGCCAAGCTATAATCCCATACAGCAGTGGTTCTCAACCTTCCTCATGCCGCGACCCTTTCAGTTCCTCATGTGGTGCTGACCCCCAACCATATCATTACTTTTGTTGCTACTTCATAACTGTCATTTTGCTACTGTGATGAATCGTCATGTAAATATCTGATAGGCAGGATGTATTTTCATTGTTACAAATTGAACATAATGAAAGCATAGTGATTTGTGACAAAAAATATGTGATTATATATTGTGAAATATTTTTTAATTAACAAAGAAATGAAATGTTGTCTTGAAGCATGGTGTAATGTGGGTAACAGTCTTCACACAGGGTACTCATAGGTGGGCGTATCTGCATGTGGGTGGACCCGCCTGGAGGCGGATAGAGGAGTGGTGTCTTGGTTCCTAAGACCATCGGGAATAGTTTTCCAATGGTCTTAGGCGACCCCTGTGAAAGGGTCGTTTGACCCCCAAAGGGGCCCGACCCAAGGTCGAGCGCTGCTGTAGGCCCAGTCTGTCTAACTCTAGCAAGCGCTCCTTTGGTATGGAAATGCCCTTTTTTCAGTAACTCCGTCCTCTGGAAAAGACATTCTCCTGGCTGCAAGCATCTGATTCTTCACTCCCAACCAGTGGTTTGAATTTCCCACCGTAGCGTAGACACGCTCCCTCCACACCTGGCCCTTCGTCTCACACAAGTCCCAGCCTGGTGTTTCCCCAAAGTTTCCTCCTGAGCCATGGGATCACACAGAAATTAAGATCTCTTTCCCATGGGTTGGTGTCCCATAGTTAGCCACGTTTCCTGATCTGGATTCCATTTTCCTCTGGATTTCTGTTTATAAGCAAGCTTTCCCTACCTATTCTTATGTACGGATAATGAGTACGTGTTGGAGCATATTCCTTCTTAAGGGAGTCTAGGGAGGAGAAGGTTCTGGGAACACGCCTCCCCTGTCTGCATGCCCATGGGCCCCATCCTTGCTGGCATTTGTAGGTTTCGTTTCTGTCAGGCTCTGTTTAGTTCTGCTACTGCTTCTCAGCGAGCACTTGCTTGTCCTGGTGGGCACCATTACATATACAGGGAGCTGTCTTCCAGGTGTGCATGTCCACACAGGAATGAATGAAGGAATGCCTTAAAACAGAGACGAACAGTGATATTTAGGGGACTCTGATCAGGTCTGAAAGTCTTGGAGTAAGGAACAACTAGAAGGAAGCAAGCAGGTGGGTGGTCTTTTCTTTGGACGAGCAGCATGTATACAGGGGAAGAACAGCTTTCTTTCTGGTCCTGTTGCAGACTCTGCCCTATGTAACCACAAAGGCTTCAGATTTCCTCTTATTCTGCCAGCAGACTTTACTTTTTGCTTCTTAGTTGAGGATTAGGCACCTTGCTCCATCCTAACGATGACTGGTTTAAGGACAGCCCATCTGTTTATAACTCCTTGCAGCCCCTATTGATCCTAAGTAGGGCGGGCGAGCTAGAATCTGAAGACCCATGGAAGCCCTATGGCTTTGCCCCAAGTCATCACAGACCGTCTTATGAGTCTTCAATTCAGGCTCACGTGAAGGCCATGGGAGGAGCTGCTGTGAAGTTGTTGATGTGCTACGCTCTTGAATTGTGTTCATTACTAATTTCCAGGAGAAGCAACACCATTGACTCCTGGGGACATGGCATTCTGCTCTGGGCTGTGCCAACTCAGCCTTGTGCCCACCAGAATAGCTCACAGTGCCTCTCTCTCTGGAGTTGGGAGTGCTGCTGCTGCTGCTGCTGCTGTCTGGTCCGAAGAAGGGGTTGGGGCAGGTTCCCAGGTATGTACCGCTGCCGACTCCGTGCCTGCCGCCCACTGTGAATGTGCCTGGTCTCGCCAGGCCAGGGGATCTGGGTGTAAGGAGGGAGGAATTTCTGGCTACATTAACCTTTGGTGAAAACAAGCATCGTTCAAATGAAAGCCAACTTATCCCTAATATAAGCATCCCATGCCAAGTATTTGCCAGAAAGTTTTCTTTAAAACACTTTCTCTTGTTTTGGTTGGTCTAAACTTTTTTTGTTTTCAACCGTTTACAAAGTCACACTCTCAGAAAGCAGAGTGAAAAAGCTTCTTTCTTCATATACATGCTGCTAAGAAAATAGTTTATACACAGAATTCCAAGGGGGGTAGTGGTGGAAAACAAGAACAAGCGTGAGAGGCAGGGAAAAGTGGCGTCAGAGCAAGACCTAAGTGGGTCGGTTTGGTTTCCCTCCTGCTGCCCACACTTGTAACCGGCATGTTGGGAATCATCCGAAATAACTCCTCCCATCCCACCCGCTTTGCTGTATTTGTCATTTGGAAAGTTTCGTGCAGTGGGTGGGACTGGAGGTGGGATTCACAAAATGGACGGAAACTAAGGGCCGAGCTGACCATCCACCACCTCTTTTGCACATAAGCCACTGTTACAATATTAGTCACTATTTGGGCTTCCAGGTCGTTCATGGAGCAGTGACTGACAAATGGAAACCCCAATCCCAGGGCTGCCTGAATTTGTGAGTATTAAACATAATAGTTGGAATGTGGAGGGGAGAGAGGATGGAGGTGAACCCCTTAGAATGAGGGGAGCTTAGGCATAGATGGATGAGAGCAATGACTGGAGGCCACGGGGTATTTCTGCTGGCTTTCCTTTGCTCCAATAAAGCACCCACTTCTGTCCCATGCCACTCTAGCTGGGACTGGGGTTAAAATTCCATATTTGAGTGGGGGATGCTTTGTCTTCGGTTGGTTTCCCTGGGGCCAACACCCTGTTCAGACCTGACTTGTGCTTCAGTCATCTCCCAGTGCCACCCCCAGTGCCCTCAGCCAACGTCACCTCTCTTCCCCAAGAGCCCTGTGGACAGACTGCTCCTGCCCTGCTGTGTAGTGGAGGAGCTGATCCAGCTATGTCGGGGATATTGGGAACTAGGTGAGGAAGAAAAGCAACTAGGGAAGGAGGATGCAGCAGGGGCAGTTAGTTGAGGAAGTAGCAGAAATGTGAATGGGGCCACGAGGAAGGGAAATAGTGGTGGGGGCCTGGGAAAGCAGTGAGTGAGAGGAAGTGGGGGTAGGGGGCAAAAGGGAAGCAATCCCCAAGATTCAGAAGCCAAGCTGTCCCAGCCACTAGTTCCGTCTCGGGGCCGCCAAGATGTTTTTGGTGATGGGGAGTTTAAGTCACGCGGGCCGACGGATGTCACCTGCCCGCTCTGCTAGACATTCATTCTCAGGAGCAGGGGTGGGCCCCTTCCCTACCAGCGCCTGCCTGAGCAGGGACACTCTGCCACCGCCACGAGGATCAATCACCAGACCCACGGGGAGGAGCTAAAGGCATTTGATCTTCCAAAAAGTGAAATGGCTTAAAGAAACCCTTAAAATGGGGAGGGAGGGTGTTACACAAAACAGGGGAAAAAAAACACTTATTTGATGGGAGGTTTTTTTTTTCTGTATTTTTCCAAGTTTATGCTTTTCTTTAGTTCATTCCTCTGGTCTCGCCATCTTGTGCACATGGGTGCGCGCTCTCCGTTTTTTTCTTTTTTTTGGTTGTGTGTGTGTGTTTTAAGTTTTTTTTTTTTTTTAAAGAACTTTGGATTTGCCGTTGGTGGGCAGCGCCAGTCCCGAGGCTGGAGCCCCGACTTGGCAGGGCTGGGACAAGAGGCGGCCCACGGCTGCTGAGAGGATCTCTGTGTTTAAAGCCTTTGAGAATAAGTTACTGCAGTTCCCAGGGTGTAGGGTGGGGGTTGGCAGAAGGGTTCCAGGCCACGGCAGCTTCCCCTGGCGTCCAGGCCGCAGGGCTCCCAGGCAGGGCAGGCCGGGTGCTGGGGGGTAGGAGGGTGAGCTGGGAGCACGTCTCCTGCCAGCCTCGTTTGGTTAGAGTTCTGAGGGTCCCCTGCCCATCCCAGGCGCCGAGCTTGGAGCCAACTGGCGTTTGGAGGTCTGTGCTCCAGACACGGGCGGGCGGGCAGGGAATGAGTGCAGGGCGTCTTTTCCTTGCCCTGCTTTGTCTCGGGTTTTCTTTTTGGGGTTACTCGTAGCAGGTATGTGTGCGCGCGCACGTGCGTCTTGGAAATGTAGGGCTGCGGGAGTCGGAGGAGACAGGACTAGGGCGGTGGAGCCCATGGCAGACAGTGGCGGGGTGGGCAGGGCAGACAGACGTGAGATGACAAGGAGGGCCAAGGGCTACAGCTGCAGGGATCTGGGGACAGGATCAGAGCATGTGTCGGGGCGGGGCGGAGGCAGCACTCTGCTGGAGGTGGGGTGTGTGAAGCCCACTGAGGGCAGGAATCAAAGATTCCCAGGTGGTGGGCGGAACCTAGGGTTGGGGTGAGGGATCTGAGCTCCCACCAAACACCCCTTGGGTTAAGAGAGGGAGCCGTGAGGCCCTCCCCTCGCCCCACATCTTGGTTTATCTGTTTATAAAGCTAGAAGTGTAGAGGTAGTAGTAGTTTTTGGGTTGGAGTCCGTGTGAGGTAATCTTGCTTCCTCTTTGGCAAAAGCCACAGCAGCCGAGGCGGCCGTGGCGGCGTTGGTGACGGTGATGGGTGGGCCCCCGGGGGGAGGGGCCGCCTTGCGCCTATGGGCCGAGGAGCGCAGGTGGGAGGCCAGGGCTTCACGCCCACTCAGCAGCACCTCACACGCCAGGCAGTGGTAGGTGCAGATGGGCACCCGCAGCGGAGGGGGTATGGAGCCCCGCCCGAAGAAGCAGCAGGACCTCTGGTGGGCAGTGGCTGGGGCCTCCCCGTCAAATGCCATCTTGCACTGGCGGCACAGGTAGCGGTGGGTCACATCCACAGTGGAGATGCCCGTGCTGCCTGCCAGCAGCTCGTCGGCCTCCCCAGGCGCCCCCTCCCCGGGGGCCGGCGGTTCCAGTGGCTTTGGAGGCGCTGTGGCTGTGGGCTCAGGGGCCTGGGGTGGTGGCTGGAGGAGGGCATTGGGGAGCAGCCCAATGAGGGTCTGAGGTATCACGGGGTTCATGGGAAATAGCCCCTTCTTCATGCCGTAGAGCTGCTGGAAGTAGGCCCCCTGTAACTGGGGGCCAAAGACAGCTGGTGGTGCTGCTCCCCCTGCAGGAGGCAGTGGGAAGGGCAGGAATTGGCCCCCCAGCAGAGCTGGGACAGTGGCCTTCAATGCTTTGAGGTTCTTGAGGGCATCAGTGGAGGAGTGGGGAGCTGTGACTGGCTTTCGCTCACCAGAGACCTTGTCTCCTGAGGGTTCAGTCGGAGCGCCTGGGGCGGGGTCAGTGGTGCCTGCTGTAGCGGTGTTGGTTTGGTCAGGCACAGGTCTCTGAGGTAAGGGGCGGCCCGAGCCAGTCGTCTGGACCACTGTAGTAGCAGGCAGGACTGAAGTGGCGAGGCCCAGGAGGCCCGAGGCGGCGGAAGGGCCTAGGAAAAGACATGCGATGAAGGATCAGCCCTCTCCTGCCACCTCCAAACACACTCCCCCCCCGGCCCCCTTCCCCACCCTCTGTCCCCAAGAGCCGGAAGGCCAGCAAGCCCGCTGGAGGAGACTGCAGAGAGGAAATCAGGAGAGGGAGGGCATGCCTCTGAAGTCCAACTCCTCCTGACCTCCAGGCTTACCTGAATTAAAAGGAGCTAAGCTGCCCAGTGGGGGCTGGGTCAGAGCTGGGCCAGACAAGAGGACGGGGGCCAGACGTGGCAGGGCTGGGGCAGCCGCGAGGGGCAAAGCAGCAGGCATGGTGGTTGGCGGGGCCTTGGGTGCTGGGGGTGCTTCGGGTGCAGGGGCCAAGTCGTAGCACTTGCTTTCGCTCTTCAGCTGTGCTCGGACAGCCTCCTTAAGCTTGGCCAGGTGCTGCCGGGAAAAGAGATGGCCGCGGCAGGAGACATAGAAGTCATATTTGACATCGCAATAGGGGCAGTCAGTGCGCTGCGCTCCCAGGGGGCCCTCACTGCTGCCTCCAGAGCCCCCAACTGTTGCCCCCTGCATTTTGGCCTTCTTCTCCTTGGCACGAGCATTCTGGAACCAGACCTGGATGACTCTCTTGGGCAGCCCAATCTCCTCCCCCAACACCTCACACTCTTGCATGGTGGGTGTGCGGTAGGCTTCGTAGCAAGCCTTCATGATCTTCAGCTGCAAGCTGCTCATCTGGGTCCTGTAGCGCCGCTGCCCCATTCCATCTGGAACCCCAAGTCCACCCCCTGCTCCCCCACTGATCCCTCCAGCTCCAGGGGACTCGGGCTCAGCCAGGCTAGAAGCAGATGAATCGCTCAGATCCCCTGCAGATGGGCTGCCAGCCTCACTCTCTGGGGAAGCTTTCAGCACTTCCTCTGGGCCCTCATCTTCACTGGGGGGGCGCCCAGTGGGGAGTGGGAGAGGTGGTTCTGGAGCCGCGGTGGGGGCCTCCTTCCCTGGTGGCGGGAAAGGCAGAGCCCCAGCAGCAGAGGTGGCTGGGGAGTAGGGGAAAGCAGGCGCCTCCCTCTTGGTGGCTTCCCTCCCCACCCCTTCATCTATCTTGCCCAATAAGAGATTGAACTTGGGGAAGGGTGCCGGAGTGGGTGGGACAGAGGGTTTGACTGCTGGGCTGGGCATCCCCCCAGGGGTGCTTCGAAACTGGCCTTTTCTTTCCCGGGCCCTGGTATTCTGGAACCAGACCTGCACCACTCGCTTCTTGAGCCCCACCTCCTCTGAGATGCAGTCGAGCATCTTGCGCGTTGGGTTGGAATCCTGCATGTACCAGCGGTACAGGATCTCCAGCTGCTCTGGCAGAATGGTGGTGCGAAGCCGCTTGTCCCTGGGGGGCTCTCCCTCCCCTCCACCCCCGGCCTCACTGCCTGTAGGGGACAGGCTGCCATCCTCGTGCTTTCGTTTGAGGGGTGGCCCTGCCACTGGCGGAGTGCTTGCCACCAGGGGATTCCGTTCCCCAAACACCAGCAAGGGCAGATCTAAGAGGTGCGGGGGAGCACTGGGCTGTACAGACGGCAGGAAATGTAGTCTTCGGTGACTGGCGAGGAGGTCCTGGCTGGGGAAAGATGTGGGACACTGGTCACAGGTGTAGGCTGGGGCTGGGGCTGGGGCTGGGGAGGGAGGAGCCTTCTCTTCAGGCTCTCTGCCTCCTGGCTGTGCTCCCTCTGCTTGGCTCAGCTCCTCCCTGTCTGGAGGGTCTGGTGAGGAACCCTGAGGCCCTGCTGGGGGTTCCAGGCCCTGTTCCTCCTCTGCTTCATCCTCTTCCATCTCCTCTTCCTCTCTCTCTGCCTCCTCTTCCTCCTCTTCTAGGGGCTGGTCATCATAGCATTTCTTGAGGTGCCGAACCAGCTCAAAGACACAGGAGAAGGTTGTGTGGCAGCGCTTACAGCCAGAGCCTGCCCCGGCTCCTGCTCCGGTTGACACAGGCCCTCCCTCACTGGCAGTTTTTCGAGCTTTCTGGCGAGCATTCTGGAACCACACTACCACCACGCGGCTAGCTAGACCCAGGAGACTCGCCAGCCTCTCCACCTCCCCGTCTTTGGGGTAGGCACTGGTCTCAAAGAAGGACTGCAGGGCCTGGGTCTGGAACTCGGTGAACTTGGTTCTGGAGAAGCGGCGGCCAGCAGGCACCAAGGGAGGAAAGTGCCCTCGGGAGCTCTCTTCCTCCTCCGGGGGGCCGTGTCCTCCTGCCCGGTTTCGCCCCTCCGGGGGACGGGCCGCCCCTGCCTCAGGCTCCGGGACCAAGAAGGGTGGGCACAGTTGGGGAGCAGGTGAGTCCAGAGGCCCATCAGCTTTGGGGGGCTCTGCAGGGGGTGGGTAGAGGCTGTCGTAGCTCTTCCGAAATTGAGCAGCATAGCGGCTCAGGGCCTCAAAGGGCAGAAAGCGGCGGTGGACGTGCTCCTCGTGGGTCTTGAGGATCAGCATGTTGGAGAAGAGTTTCCCGCAGGCCCCACAGGCCAGCTTGTCCCCACCGCCCAGGGCTTCGGGAGGAGGTGGGGCTGGGGGTGGAGGCGCCGCCTGCTTCCCTTCATTGTACTGGATAACTAGCTCAAAGCCAAAGTTTTCTAGAAGGGCTCTGGCGGCAGTACGGGCTGCCTCATTGGGTGTTGGGTGGGGTGGTGAGGAGGGTCCTGCCTCATTCCCCTCTTCGGTCATGGCCATGGGGGGCCGCTCCCACTCCTGCTCAGCCAGCTCAGCCTTAGCGGGTAGAGGAGGCGGTGGAGGAGTGGCAGCCGGCAGGGACAGCACGGGTGTCACCTTGAGGTCATGGAGGTAGAAGGGCAGGAGGAGCTGCTGCTGCTGGAGCTTAAGCAGTGATTCGGGGACGAGTGGGAAGTGGGGCAGGACTGGAGGGGAGAAGAGTGGGGCTGGGAATCGGGGGAGGTCTAAGGGCGGGGGTGGAGGGGACAGGAAGGGCAGCCCAGACATGAAGCCACTGGAGTCGGGGCCTTTCTTCTCACCGCCCACCTCCCCCTCGGCCTCGCCTTCCCTGGGCTCTTCTTGGCTGCGTTCTGGCCCCTCGGCCTTGGTGTCCGTCTTGGTGCCCCTAGAGCGAGTCTGATGCAGGACTGAGCGCATGTGGATCTCCAGCGTGGAGCTCTGGTTGTAGGAGACTCGGCAGACTGTGCATTTAAAGGGTTTGTCTGTGGCCAAGGTGGTGGTGGGGGGAGCCCCTCCTTCTCCCCGGGCGGGGGCAGCAGGGTCGATGGCAGCCTTCTTCATCTTGTGAAGGTGGGAGACAGAATTGTAATGCACCAGGAGGATGTTCTTCTGGGTGAAGGACTCCTTGCACACCGTGCACTTATACGGCCGGGCAGGGTCCAGGAACTTGTCCAGGGCGAAGTTGGTGGTCTTCCGATAGGTCAGAGGGTGGCGAGAGTCAGCTGGAACTGGCTCTGCAGGGCGGGTTTCCCCAGCTGACCCTTCTTCCTCTTCGGCCACGATGGATGGAGGGGCCATTTCTTCAGCTTGGGCATCAAGCCTGGGGACTGGTGACGGGGGTAGAGAAGGGGGTTGGTCAGGGCTTCCCATGGGCTTGTCTAGGGCCTCGGCTGAGGGCAGAGGAGGCTCAGGAGGAGGATCTGGGCTGGCATCTGGGGTCAGGCTAGGACCTTCTGGGGAAGAAAGGGGTACAGTGAGAAGGTAGCTTTATATTTGGACTACCCCCCTGCCCCCACCCCATTATCCGGGGCCACCGGCCCTTGCCTTGAGGACCTTCACACCTCCTTGGGTCGCAGAGCCCAGTTCTCTATCCTGTCCTATGAAGGGTGCTGCCCCCTCCTTACCTGATGACGCCTGCTCTCTGCCGGGTGTGGGCTCCGGCTCGGGAAACAGGGGGTCTGGGCCTTCCTCCACGGGGCAGAGACTGGACCCAGGCAGCACTTTGGTCATAAAGGTCATCTCTACGGTTGTGGCCTGTTTGGGAGAAAAACCAGTGACTTCATGCCACCACCCCTCACCTTCCATCTGGCTGTGCCTGACCCCTTGGGCTGGATGTCTCTCTGTACCTTGCCGGGGCCCAGCACTTTCCAGTATCCCGCCTTCTCCAAACAAAGCGCCCTCCAATTTCTGCTTCTCCCTGCAGATGCACCTCTCCTACCGGGCTCCCTTCCCCAGGCCAAATGCTGTCCTTTCTGGAGGACCCCTGGCCCGCAAGATCCTAGGAACAGGGTGGTTCCCAGGTCCAGGCCCTCTGCTGAACAATTCTTCTCAGGATTTACCAGAAAGAGAAGAAATGCTTTGTTTCCCTGTGAGTAGACACAGCCAGACAAGAGAGATTCTGAGCTTCCCTCTACCTTTCAGCCTGTGAAGTGCTACTTTCTGGGTCAACATGCTGCCCCCTGCCTGCCCAGTACACCCACTTGACTGGCCACCCGGCCCCTTCCCCCAGCTGTGAAGGCGCCTCAGTGCATGGCCTCCCCAGCCAGTACTCACCACAAGCAGCAGCTTCTCAACACACTCAGGCACCACACTGTGAAGGTGGCTCAGGTGGAAGTGCAGGGCGGGCCGGCCCACTAGCTGCTCCTGGCACAGTGGGCATCTGTACTTGGGCTGCACTGCATGCTGAGAGAGTGTATGAGCCCTGACCTGCTCTGACTCTGGGCTCTTGAAACTGCAATATGGACAGCAGTAGACCTGGGGGCACAGAAGGCCAGGGGAGGATGTGTCATAGAGGGGGGGACCCACCACCGCACGCTCCCCTCTGGCTTCTTGAAAGTACCACTGTCCCCTCCCCCCAGCGTAGGAAGGTCATGCTCCACAGAATGGTGTCAGAGCGGACCCAGCCGCCATGTGCATGTCCCGAAGGCAACTTTTTTTTGGGGGGTGGTGGTGGTGGTGGTGGTGGTAGCCTGCTTGCTGCTCACTTTCCTTCTCCATCTATTCCAGCCTCTACCCGTTCCTTGGCTTTCCTCTCCCTGTCTCTGCTGCCCTACCAGTTGTCTGTCTGCCGCCACCCTGACCTGTTGTCCTTCTTTTACCCCATTGTGCCCATGTCTCACCAGACAATGGTTCTGCCTCCTTGGGCCACTTTCTGGACCCAGGGGCTTCCTTGCCCCTGCCCTTTGGCCTGGCAAAGTCTGTTGGCTGACAGGGGCTCCTGAAGAGGCCCTGCCTGCCTACCCAGAAGCCATCTCTCTCGCCGAGCCTCAGCAGCTCGCACTGTCCGTTGGCAGGGCATCTGGTTTGCTGTTTGGAAAAGGCAAGCCAGGGCCCCAGCTTCCCCAGGGGCCTGCACGCGAACACTCTGTGCTGCCCTCTCCCCTTCACACCTGGGCGGGTGTTTCTGCCTTTGCTACCTGACTTTTGCCACCTCAATAAGGCAGGTGTCCCTGGCATTCCTACATCTTGAGCCATTGGTTTAGGCCTGAGCATCTCCCTAAGGCTGTCCTGGGGGTGGTGTGTGTGTGTGTGTGTGTGTGTGTGGCAGTGTGGCATGCAGAGGAGACACTCATTTTAGGGTTCCTAGATGCTCATTTTAGGGGTCCTAGCCCTGGCACAGGTAGACAGGCTTGGTCTGTCGAGAGAACCCAGGTGAGGTCAAAGGCAGGCCCAGGGCAGGCTGTGATGACAGAGACCTTTCAGATCTGCATCTGTGCACAGGATACCAGCTCAAAACCAGAATCTGGAATCACAGTTCCAGGTCTGAGGCCTAGCCATTAGGAGATTTGTGGGGCTCGACGCCTCTATCTCTGTGAACCCCGACAGAAGGAGGGAGGAGGGGCCCGGCCATTCCAGCCAGGTTCAGGCACCTGTCGAGTTGGCTCATTTGTCCTTGTGCTTCTGGGGAAAGGAGAGCCACACAGCGGCATCTCTCCTCTGTCTCCCTTCACGCTTTCTTACTCTGGACCCACTGTCTTTCTTCTCCTTCCCTCACACTCCTTCCATCCTTCCGGGTCATCTCTGCGAGCCACTGGGGCAGTGCTCTCCTGTGTGAGCAGACCCCAGGCACGCACACTTACAGGTGGCCTCCCGAGTGATGTAGGTAGGCATGGACACATGAAGCCTGCTTTTCCACCTGAAACATGTCAAGTGCTGCACTGGGTTGAGTTTCTGTCTATGAGTATCTCAAGTAGGCCAGACCCCCTTCAGCCCTGCCCAGTTATCCCAGTTCTGACCGTGGTCTGGTTGGCACCCTTCTCTGCCTTGTTCTCTGCCTCTTCAGAAGCTGAGGGAAAAAAGGAGAGGAGATTAGGAGGCTCAGGGACAGCGCTCCCCCCCCCCCAAGCCCTCACAGGGCCCTGATCGTGGCACAGAGCTCCCAGGGTTGGGGCTGGGCTCTGGAGCACCACAGGACAGGTGGACGGCTCTGACTCCAGGCCTGGGGCCATGCTCCTTTCCCTCTGCTGAGCCCTTCTTGGATCAGTTGTGCCCCTTAGCACACAGGCCTGGCCGGGCACATGGAATTAGGCAGGGTCCCATTACGTCACGGAAGGTACGATGGTTAGGTGGGTGGGAGTGGGGTAGTACAGTACGAGGCAAAGGGAGGTGGGCCACGGGAGAAACTCACCCAGTTGTTCTGTCTTGTTCTGGGTGTCATTCTCAGTGGCGGGGAGCTCAGCTAAGGGGGTGACAGAAGCCTTCCCTGTGGATGGGGTGGAGGTGGAGAGTCAGAGGGTGAAGCAGTAGGGAAAGGGGCATAGGACAAAGGGAGGGGGCTAAGCAGCCAGTCAGTGAGGAGATCGGGACAGATAGATGGACGGCTCCAGGCAGGGGAGGGTGAAAAGACCCCAAGAAGCAGCACACAGACAGGAGGTGAGGCACGGCAGTGTGAGAGCTGGTAGGGACTAGGAGACTCTTAGGTGAGTGGAGCCCCACATTGTAGAGACGAGGCTGCAGAAACGGCCAAACCCTCTCACAGCAGAGAGCCCCCGAGCTGGAGTGGGCGGAGTGCTAAGTAAAGGAAGCTCAGGGTGGCTGGAAGCAGCCACGGGGAGCAGGCGGCTGCAGGATTGGCTGGGAGAGGAGATTACCACTCAAGTAAGAATTGACAGATGTGTAAGAATTTATTTTCGGTGGCAGCCTAATTAAAGTGTTAAAGTTCCTTAACTCTATTCAGCCCTGTGCCAGGATCGTTAGCTATTGATCTGGGCCCCTCCGGCACTTAACTCCAGCCAGCATATTGGCAATTCAATTAGCACCCGTCAATGCCGCCTGCTCCTCCTTCCGCTGCTAGTGCTGGCACCCCAGCCCACCCCTGGCCTCGACAAAGCCCCTTCCCCTGCCCTCTGGATCAGTGGCCACCTGGCTGGCTGTTCTTGGCTTCTGCTGGCACAACCTCAGCTGCCTAAGGGGGACCCTAAGCCCAGCCTAAGGGCTGGGAACCCCCCAGGAGAGGAAGAGGCCTGGGAAGTACGTCTGGGCCTCTCCCCGTCACTGCTGCCTTCAGACACACATCCCAGCGTCTTCCACCCTGCCCTGGCCTGCATGAAGCAGTATCTCTGTTTCTCCTTCCTGCTGACCAGCTCTC